ATATCTAATTCAGAGGGTTATGACTTACGAGAATTCTGAAAACTCCTTTCAGACTTGCCTCTGAGTCCTCTGTAAATTATCTACCCTTGTTTTCAGTTTAAGGTACTCATTGTGACTGCTCTGGACTAACCAGAAAATAAGAGGTACTTCAGTACAAAAGATATCGAAAAAAACAAGTAAGCATTAAGTGCTTTTGGAGCAAATAGTGGCTGGGCACTAGGGATGAAAATGGAAGATCAGTTCACACACACACACGATCATAGTTTTCAGCCATGTTCATGTTCACCAAGATATCCAATAGCTCCTGTCTGCTTACATGTCTGGTGGATTTCGCCGCGGACAAGCTAAACTATGGAGGCCCATCAGTTGAAGGGAACACAACATCAGTGGTCAGAAGACCACGTCTGTTGGCTCTTGATATGAGGTGGAAGCCTGTGATACAGGAAAGTATCAGCCGATTAGAACAATACATAGAAAAATAGGAGGAGGAAATTTCAAAACTAATAATCAATACACTATAAAAGGTCAAAACAAAGAAAATTTTGGTTCTAAATTAATATAACAACTAAAGGCCGCTATCATCTCATTTCGACAAACCCTGGCCATGTAGCTTATTTGTAATATTTAAGGAAACAATTCAAGTGTACTCAGAACTACTTTTGTCTTTTCAATTCGCACAGAAAACAACTGATTAGCAACTACTATTAGTAGGACAACCATCAATAGTCCAGCCTTTCAGATCATAGGGTACGGACAATTATTACATATGTATGTGGAGGAACAACTAGCTTGCATGTGATGGGAGTATAGGACAACGAAAAATAAATGATACTGAACAGAAGAAGATGGATTTGAGATTGGATTGCTTGTCTGTTGGTATGGACAACCAGTACATGTTAATGTCCACTGAACATCTTCGGTGCACTACAAAAGGTTCAAAGTGATTGAGCTGAGATTGAGCCTGGCGCTTGGCGTTGTCGACGTCGGCGCGCGTCGGAGTCGACGGCAGAGGGTGGCGCGGCGGACGCCACGGGAGAGAGCGACGCGAGGGAAAAGCCCGGAGGCGGCGTCTCGGGCTGAGGTCGAGAGGACGAGGAAGATATTTTTCTCCCCAACAGCTGTATATACAGTGGACATTTGTAGAGGCGGTTGATGATTCAGCCGTCCCTACAAATAGACATAGCAGGGACGGTTGGTAATACGAGCCGCTCCTACAAATAGACGTATTTGTAAGGGCGGCTCGTAGACACTAACCACCTCTCTTGTGTTATTTGTATGGGACGGCTCTTTGTCTTTGGAGGTAATATCTGAGCCGCTCCTACAAATAGGCGTATTTGTAAGGGCGGCTCAGTATACCGACCACCACCTCTATCTTTTTATTGTATGGGACGGCTGCTTTGTACGAGGCCGAAGCACGCCACTATAAGGGTGGCTCCATCACCAGCCGTCCCTAAAAAAATTATCCCGTTGCTACAAACGTTTTTTTTAGCAGTGGGCGGAATGTGCCTCAGCCCCCAGCAGCCTCGGCCTCACCAGCAGCAACTCAGCGGCCTGGCACTACCATCGGGCATGGCCGCATGGGCACCAGCTCATTTTTGCATGAGCATAGCTATACCGGCCCGTGCATGAAAAATTGAAAAATGATTCTGGTTCGATCGCCACGAAGCATACATTTGGCATGATGGCTGGCGATTGTTGCACTTTGATCAGTTACAGAACGCAGAAATGAAGGTTACCACACGGAACATCTGATCGAGGCAACTGGGGCAGTCACACTCGTAGGAGAGAAAGAGGAGCTCGGTTCCCTCGCGCTTTCGGAGGCGATAGGGCAGGAGCACCGCGGGGGCATCCGGCAGGGAAAATCCGGCGTGAGACCTCCAGATCGCCATCAGGCAAGGAAGCTCCTCTGGAATAGTCCTCTTGCCCTCCTCCCTTCCGGCATATGCTGTCTCGGATCCATTTCCGGATGCAACCTCCCGCGGCGCGCGGTGCCTGTGCATCTATATATATTTGCGTCCGCCGGGGCCAAGCCGCGGACATGTGTGCTTGTCGGTCGGCGAGCACCGTAGGAAGAACAGCCGTCGGCCCAGTGGCAGCACGGCGGTCGAGGTGCCGGCGCCGGCGAATTACGGGGCAGTTCGTCTTTGGCACAAAGGCACGTCCAGAACTACTCGATGAGGGAGCTGAACATGTGTGCCAAAGGAGAATTGCCCTGTGATTTGCCCGTGCAGAAGCAGAATCTGTTTGGATGCTGCTGGGTTTTCTTCCTTTTCCTTGATGCGGCGTGCGGGAGATCTGAGTGGAAGTTTTAGAAAAACCTGCATGTTGAGCCTGGAGAATCGCCCCGAACCCCCGAGATCCAGCCTCAGATGCGTTGGCATCGTCACCGGTTCTGTACGTTACTGTTGCCTGTGCTGCTGGCTTGACTTGCGTGTGGAGTTTCCTCCTGCTCGCTTGTGTAATTTACTATTTTTTTTGGCTAACTCCTGTCACAATTATGAGCATTGTTATTCTGACTTCGACACCGATGCATTCAGACGCCATACCCATAGGTGTGCACAGTGTATCCGTGTAGGTGTAGTTGCTCGTTGCAGCACATATGATCTGTATTCTCTACGGCATTTAGCATCCTACATGTGAGATACTCCTACTTACTACCAGATAATATGTGCATCTGATCCACATATATAGACATATAGCACAAGATAACAAAACGATAATGTAACAAGACAAGACAAAAAACGAGGGGGCGGGGGGCAGCTAGCGTTTACTCGTGGGATGCCAAATTTTTAAGGCCGCGCAGTATGAAGATTAAATAAAAACTAATTACGGTTTCGAAATCCACGGATTGTTAATCTTTTAAGCCAATTAGACTATGATTTGCTAAATAACAACGCGCCGCCCAAAATTTCGACATCAAACGGTGCCTAACTCCTCGTGCCAGCGCGGCGCCGCCATACACAACCTGCCACGCGCGCGCCACCACCCTCGGCCCTCCCCTTCCCGACGAAGCAACTTGCCGGGGCACGTCGCGATCCCGGGCGCGCTCGGTCAAAGCCATCTCGGATCAAGTGGCGCGGTACTTCGCTAGCGACGGGCGGGCGGGGTCACGCGGGCGGGCGGGCGCAAGAGTCGCCGACGTGCGTGCACATTGGCGGAGAGAGATCCAGTCAACCCTTTAGTTAGGCCATGTTTAGTTCCCTTAAAATCCAGAATTTGGCACTATGCAAAAAGAAGATTCCCCATCACATCAAATTTGCATCATATGGAGCCTCGAACATTTTGCAATTAGCCGATTATTACCAAATAAGTGTCAGGTGTACCGACTGAATTCGGCGGCGCCGATTCAGTGGCCATCTAAACACGGCCTTAGTATATATATATACATCGCCTCGTTGCTGTCAGTGTCAGAGTCAGGCATGCATGCTCGGCTAGTCGACGGCAACACGGTGAACGCGCGAGAAGAAAGAAAGGTGCGTGTCGAGAGGCAGAGTTCACACAGCCGCCGTGGCGTCGTCGTCGTGTGCCAGTGCAGCACGGCAACGAAACGCATGCTCGCTCAGCTCTGTTGTCGGGACGCCGATCGGTGGTGACAGTGTCCTTTTTGAAGACTTGCAGAAAACTTACCTCTGACACGAGAGTGCTGGGACTAAGGCCTTATTTAAATTGCAAGTTTTTTCACTCTTTTTCTATCACATCAAATCTTTGGACATATACATGGAGTATTAAATATAGATAAAAAAATAACTAATTACACAGTTTGATTGTAAATTACGAGACGAATCTTTTGACCCTAGTTAGGCCATGATTGGACAATAATTGTCAAATACAAACGAAAGTGCTACAGTGTCAAATATTAATTCCTAACCTCAATCTAAACGAGGCCTAACAAACCCTTTGCTAATTCCCGCTGTCATGAAGAATTCGATGTTACATTATTATTATCCATTTGCGCAGGACACGACAGTGACCTAGCTAGGTTGGCAACGTTGGCTTGAATTGATTGAAACAATGTTTAATTCTCTCTCGCTCTCGTGGTTGAAGGTACCTAATCTCGCACAGAAAACAAAATGATTCAACCAAACCATTGACAAAAAAGATCTGTGTGTCCTTCTCAATCTCCTCATCCCCACCCAACCAACTCTGTGCAACTTCTTAAACTCCTCGCAGCTTAGGTTGTGGGGAGTAGTGCCCCTCGTGCATGTAATGACTGCTGCTTCATTCTCCTTGTTATAAATCAAAGTTCCGAAACTAGATCTTCAAAAAAAAAAAACTCTGTGCAACTAAAAAATGCCTTAAGTTTGTTCTTCTACTATGCGCTACCGTGTCTGTGTATAAACAACCAATCAAAGAAGGATTGGCTAGGGGACAACGGGGAAGAGAACAAGCAGCCAAAAGTAGATAGATCAAGAGGAGCTCTACATGAGTTTATCTGGTTCTATTTGAGCCCGTGTCCGGGCCAGTCCCACATGTTAGTGACCTAGCTAGGCAACGTTGGTTTGACTGAAACAATGTTTACTAATTCTCTCTGTCTGGCTCTCGTGCTTGAACGTACCCAATCTTGCACGAAAAACAAAATGGTTCTACCAAACCATTGGCAAGAAAGACCTGTGGTCATGTTCATTTGTCTTATGAGCCGTACTGTTTCAGCAAAGAAATAATGTTTTTCTTTCACAATAAATCAGCGAATAGTACTTTCAGCCATGCCTTTTCAGCGAAGCGAACAGGGCGCGTGTGTCCTTCTCAAACCCCTCGTGCCAGCCCACCGAATCAACTCTGTGCAAATGCAAAAATGCCTCAAGTTTTTTCTATGCGCTACCGTGTCTGTGTATAAACAACCAATCCGAGAAGGATGAAAGAAAAGCTAGGTGATGACAAGAGGGAACATAAGAACAAGCCAAAAGTAGATAGATCAAGGAGCTCTACACGAGTTTATCTGGTTTTATTGTAGTCCGGCCTGCCCCACATGCCAGGCCAGGCCTGCTGACCATCAATTCACTTCACTTCACCCCGCCCGCCACCGAAAGCCCGTCACCGGCGTGCCGCCGGAACACCATGGCGCACTCGGGCAGCTCGCCGAGACCCGCGAACATGGCGTCCTCCTCGCCCCCTTCCCCGTAGTCGAACAGCCTGCCGACGTCGCCGAACTCGTCGGGGAGGGGCGCGGCGGGCGGGACGGCGGCGCCGAAGAACATCGTCGCCCCGTACAGCATCTCGTCCGCCGCCTCGACGTCCGAAGGCGACGCCGAGGAGGTGACGGACACGCCGTCGTAGAGCCACCTGAACTCGTCGTGCACCTCGACGGCGGCCGCCGCGCCAACGACCTCGGTCTCGGCTGCAGCAGCAGGCGCGCCACCGCAAACCGTGGCAGCGACCACGTCGTGGCTGCCGGATGACGGGGACTCCGCCGGCTCCGGCGGGACTGGCTGCTGCTGAGCCGCCTTTGGCTTCGAGGCCTGGCGGTTCTGCTGCGCCCTCGCCACGGCGTCGGAGTGGCTGTGCTCGAACGAGTACGTGACGATCACCTTGTCCGGCTCGGCCCGGCTCCGTTCCACCTGCTTCCTCGCCGGGCACCCCTTGGAGCTGCTGCACCTGTAGTAAGCCCTGCTCCGAACGCCAAAACCGAAATCCAGATCAGCAAAAAATTAAAAAAATCTAGAGTGGTGCATCCACAAGAACTCGAAGAACACGGTGCGGTCATGTAACCATGGATGCATGATGATTGATTGCTTTTAGTACGTGCCGTGTGCCCGTGTACCTCGGAAAAGGCGAGCCCTTGATGGGCTTCTGGCCGTACTTCCGCCACGCCCACGAGTCCGTCGGCGTGTTGCCCTCGCCGACGCCCTTGGGCCGAGGGCCGCTCACGTCGGCCAGCGGCACGGTCACCACCCGCTTGTTCGCCGACCGCCTCCTCCCGGTACCGGTAGCAGCAGCTGGCGACGTCGACGACGGTGGCGCAGGCGACACCGGCGACCCTGGGCAATCAGCCGACGACGAAACGCCACCAGCAGCGCGAGCCTTGCTCTCGCTGCCGGACACCGTCGGCGAGGACGCCGCCGCCCCGTCGCTCCACTCGCCGTCCATTTGCCCGGCCAGCCCCAGAGAGGAAGAAAGTGCGCGCGCGGCGTGATCGACTGGAGTGGAGACAGCAGACAAGACAGCGGCCGGGACGGGGCGCGGCAGGTTTGCCGGAGCAGTTCTCGGCCTGATCCGAATCCGATGTCACCAGCTGCCCCGAGGCAGGCGCATCCTCCGCGGGATATAAAGAAACGCAACGGCGGTGCGGTGTGGAAGTGATCGAGCTAAACTAGTACCACGAGGGAGGCTACGTACGTCGCGGTGACGGACGGTGTCGCGTCCTCGGTTCGTGCGGTGTGATTGGCCGGGGAGGACGTGGGGTTTTGTGGGCGCGCACGCTGGCTGAGCTAGGCTTGGAGACCACGGGGAACTTAAACAAAGAGGACAGACAGCCAGACAAGCTGCTTGAGACGACGAGCGCGAGCGTGCGACGGCGACGTCTCTCCAACTATCTATCCCCATGTCCGTCTTGATGATCGATCATCGTCCCTCATCTGTCAGCGGTTGCTTTGCTTATTCCTTGGAACCATCGGGAATTAGACGAGAAGCAGTATTAGTTATCCTATTAATTAATCAACGTACGCATATTATGCATTGGAGTGGTTGGTGCGTAATAGCAGACGAGCGTGGTTTCGAACCGAGGCTTCGGTTCGCCGTCGTGCCCACGCGCTGCAACAGTGACTGTAACTGAGACGCGCATGGCAGTGGCAGCTCATTTCAGAGCCGGAGCCCGGCAGATCCCATCCCCATCCCACGCGTTTCTATCGAGGGCTACAGTGACTGTAACTGAGACGCATTATATTTTGGTGGCAGAAGATTAAATATCAGTAAAAAAAATGCCGGAGTTTGGTTGCAGATCCCATCCCCATCCCACGCGTTTCTATCGAGGGCTACATTGACAACTACATACGCCGGAATTCTTTTGCCGCCTACAGTACTTCCTATAAAAGAATCTAGACTCTAGAGGCGTGGGATATTTCGGCAGATGCGTCAAGCTAAGAGACAGGAGTAAGGTCGTGGTAATTCAGGACAGGACTTGTCGTTATCCATCCGTTGCTTGGGGAAGAAACAACAACTTCGCTACCAGCCAGTACCATTTCTTCTTTCAGAATTTTACAAGTCGATTACTTCCTCTAGAAGAGTCTAGATATGATATGTATTCTGGCCTGGGTCAAATTAACCTTTGGAATGCTGGGACACTGAAGGCCGAAGCCGAATCCCATTCCCAGGACGGCAGGACGTCATGTCATGTTTGAGAGATCCAATAAATCCAACCACAGCCACCATCATCATCGTCCAATGGTGAGCGGCCTTGCTCAAATTCTTGCATGGAAATAGACATCACGCGTTCCATACATCCACCGCAACACGAAACCATCGTTTTTTTTTCGAATTCTTTGATCGTACTCTGACGGGGTTATTCAATCGTTAATCTGTTCAGTTATGGCATCACAATCCTTCTCGGCTGCTGAGTTTCTTTATTCCTCGGATGTTGTCATGGACCCTGACTCCTGAGAGTTCTAATGACTTGTTCAACCGAGGCCTCAGTCATGAGGTGGCAGCGACCGAATTTTTTTTAGCCTTTTTTTAAAAAAAATCATAAATATGTCTCTATAGGTAAGATTTTAAAATCTGGACCCTTGGCTCGGCGTCAGCACTGCTAGCACCGAGCTTACACTTCTTGGCGCCATGGTTGCTGGCGTCGAGCTCTTAGGCTCGACGCAGACGTGATGGTGACTTGGCAGGCAGCTCGGCGTCGTAGATCCTGACGCCGAGCTCGACGCCGTAGATCCTGGCGCCGAGCTTGACACCAAGATCTATGGCGCCGAGGTGGTGTTTTAACCCCGCCCCCAACCTTTCTGCCCGAACCTTCTTCCTCTTCTTTCTCCTCCCTCTCGGGTTTTTTCTCTCCCCACTTCGTCCTACCTCACGAATGGCATATTGGACCTTGAAAACTTTGATTTGATCCGTACATCTTCAAGAGCAAGGTACCCTCGCTCTCCTCCTAGATCCTTGATCGAAGGTATATATTAGTAGGATTTTTGAACCTAAGAAGTCCGATAATGTAATTTTTAATATTTGTATTATATAGGCAAGATGTATGTCAAAGGTATTGGATGTGTTTTATATTATGGGTTCATTGTTGATCAAATGGAAAACCCTAGGTTTAGGGTTGAATGTTAATTGCGCCGGTTCTTAGAATAAAATTAAATTATAGATGGTGATGGAAAATTGATGTTTGGTGTTCAGTGCCCATGACATCTTGCAAGGTAGCTAAGTCCGATTTTTTGACACATTTTGTAGGTATTGATGTGTTTTTTTTACGTTTGAGCCATCCTCCACCGCATTAACTGATGTTTTTTGACATCTTGGATTTTTTTGTTTTGTAACAATTGTAGATCAATCCCTCCAAGACAAGGAATAAATGCATTGGATCAGTTGAGATCAAGGGAGGCAAGGGAAACAAGGAGATAATGGTGAAGAGGCGAGAGGACAAGGAGATAATGGTGAAGAGACGCGAAGAGGAGGCTGCAAAAAAGGAGCACAAGAAAGAGGAGGAAAGGAGACGTGTTGCTGTGTACATGGAGGAGAGGGAGAAGAAGCTTGAGCGTGCACGCCGAGCGAAAGAAACGATGGAGGAGAATCCCGATGCCCTGAGGAAGGGAAAGTGGTCTCGTTGCACTCTGTAGTCTCGATGACTTGCTAGTTCTATGATTTATTCATGAATAATGTTGTCTACTGTCGGCACGTACTTCTATTATTATTGTGTTGTTTAATGTGGCATAATATTGAACTTTTTATTATGTAGTTGTTTTCATTCTTTGTGGTCATAATATTCAGTATAATATTACGGACGTAGTGAAATGTGATCACGTGCTGCAAACATAACCTAACGAAGTAGGGCATTATATAATTCAACATACAAAACACATAAAATGGCATGCGAGAACATATACCGAACTAGGGTACAGAGTTCCTTCGACTAAACCTAACATGCCTTAGCTAATTAAATCAAACAACAAACACATGGATGTGCTATGTGAATAAGATAGGGTCGTCATAGTAGTGTGGCTACATAGCAAATTGTGTTACACCTTCTCCACGGTAGCCTCCCATTGTTGGTGGTGGTGGGGGTGACGGCGGAAGTCCCTTGTTCTTTGTGGTTAGGGCAGGTGCAATATGAATCATTGCAGAGTGCCTCCTGTGAATCGGCACCATTATTGTTGTCGTCCTTGTAACCACTGCTAACTTCTCTTTCTAGATCGAAGATATGGTCCTACAGGTAGTAGATATACTCCGCATGCGGATAAATAGGTCGATGATCGATCCACCTAGTGAACCCACAGTTTTCTTCGACCAATGAAGACTGCAATAAGTATGTCATGTAAGTTGTATAGAAGAGGAGCATATTGAAGAAACAAATAGTAATAGCAATTACACATACTCGTGGGCATTTGAAGAAACGACAATCTCCATCTATTCCCTCGGTGAACATCTGCACTAGGAAGTCCTCACCATGCATGTATTTTGGCCACTCTTCTTTCTGTTCATCGTATCCTCTCAGTGGTGCCTCTTTGGTGAAATCACTTTTACTCTCAACTGGGAACCTCTCATAAAGAACTTCCTTAAAGAAATCGAGACCAAGAGAACCCTCCCATATAATGGTAGTTCCCTTCTCATTTCCTCTCCCTTTGGACGACCCTCTCAGACATTGGTACTGCAACAAAAGAAAATACTGAGGAGTACTCTTCTTCCTTGTTGTGTGTGTGAATGAGAGGGAGTGAGGGGTTATTTATAGGTTGAGAGTAGGAATGGAGGCCTCTCAATGTGCCATATCAGCGATCCGTGTGCCTCTTCACCTCAGTCCTTAGATCAAACAATCATAAGATGGATGCTGGAGATGGAGTGGAGTTGTGCTTCCTTGCATGCCTTCCTATCTTGAGCAAACTGTCATTCCTCTATACAATTCTTCCGAAATACACATGTCACGGAGGTTGGAGAGGCGGTAAGAAGCACTTGGTCAAGGTTGGGCCCAAGGCGAGCCTATAGGGGGCGGGCGACCCCAGGGGTCGGTCGACCCCTAGAGACACCATCATATAGGTGTACTATGTAAGTGAAGTGATATATCGCTGCTGTCATCGTACTCCTCGTCCTTGTAACTGAAAAGTCTATTTTCATTGTCTGAAAGTCTAGATTCGTTCGCTGTTACTAAAAAGCCTAGATGCTATAGGTGTACTATGTAAGTGAAGTGATAAATCACTGCTGTCATCGTACTCCTCGTCCTTGTAATTAAAAAGTCTATTTTCATTGTCTAAAAAGCCTAGATTTGTTCACTGTTACTGAAAAGCCTAGATTCATCTGCAAAGCGTCTGTACGATACGATTGGACTATACACGTTCTAATGAATTTAGATTTAATCTATGTACTATATTTGTGCATTTTTAGCAGTGTAGCATAATTAATGATTCATGGAAAAAATTCGTAAGAGTTTTTCTTGTTTCAGGAGCATCCACAATTACAAACAGAGATATCATTATATAATCCAAACGTTTAATCATACAAAGAGCACAATGCAACCACAACAAACATCACAATCAACATAATATGTCCTACATAGTCCAAATAGTCCACAATGTCCATACAGTCCCAAATAAGTTATAGGAAAGTAACTACAAAATCCATAATAGTACATACTAACATCTACCATAAACCCTCATTGCCTTCTAGTCTTACCCTTACCCTTGTGACCAAGAGCGATGATACCTAGAGTGTAAGGTTCAGGTGGACGGCGTCGCCTAGTGCCTAGAGGCTGTGTAGGCTGACTCGAGGGAGCGTCCTGGAGCTGAGAGGGGCCAAGCTCCTCGTGCCTTTGGTCCACGTTGTCGTCGTCCTCCTCCTCATCCTCGTCCTTGTCCTCGTCCCCTGTAGTTGCTTGGCTAGAGGAACCTAAGCCTCCTTTGACTACGGAAGGAACGTACACGTTTTGCGTCGTGTCTGTCCTACAA